AACAATAGTAAGAGAAATAAAAACTAAAGACATGTTTGGTTGTGCTGAGGTAATAATGGAAATAAAGTGGGAACAAAAATGTGTATAATCCAAAGGAGGGATGTTTTTTTTTTATTTGGAGATACATAGAATAATCCTGACCATGACCTTGTCTGAGGTTAAGGTGAATTTCTCAACTTAGCTGCCCTGCTGCATGCATGTGTGCACATTGACTGATAGTGGCCCCATTACTGATGACTCTAACAAGCTTAGGTCAGAGGCCAGACAGTGGTGAGTGAAAAAGGATGGAGCAAGACTGTTAAAGGTCCTTTAAACACCACCTGCCTTTGCACACAGACACATACACACCCGCGCAGTCAGAATCTTGACTAATTGTTACCAGACCATTTTTCAAACGTATCCCCAGTGCCTCCGGACCCCTGCTTCTTCCCCACAGATGACAAGTCTTTACACAGATTCCAGTTTACACAACATGCTTTCAATTGAACTCAGAATAATAGTGAGGTCATTATTCAAGCATTTGAACACTTCTTATACTTTTTCAGTGTCATCTGTGCTTCTCTGAATTCCCTTTAATGCAATATGTGTTAAATTCCATCTCAGACATTTTGCAATGTAAAAGGAAAACAGCAGCTGCACCATTACGTACATCATTCAACTTGTTCTTTATAGCTCTGAGTAAGATTTCCCAGCGAAGCTTATAATAAAAGACTGAGAATATCCAAAAGACTCTCAAATACTTTCGCGTTTTGGTAGAAAATCTACTGCTGCTTTGCCTTGTTTTCCCCATTTATGTCTGATGGCCTCATAACATCCACTGCAGCCATTCAAATGCAGCATGACACATCTGTCCATCTCTCATCATCATCCCATACCTCCTAATTTAAACCATTAATTCAAAAGTTCAGCATCAGGAATACCCTTGGGTCTTAATTCATCAGTGAAATATTAAAAAAAACATCCATCGTGTGGAGTGAATAACATTAGCTGGGATTCATTTTGGACATTATTTATACTGTATCAATATTTCCAAATTATATTTCATCCCTTGCACCCCCACCCCATCCCCGATATGTCCAGCCAGATTTACTTTTTGCTTTTAGATTTTAGCCTTTAAACTAAAGTAATTACAGAACCCACAATGAGCTTCAAGGAAGTATGCATGTTTTAATCAACCATAAATTATTTATGTTTTTCATTCTTTGGCTTCAGTATCACAGAGGCAGCTTGGCCTCCACACTGCTTCTTAGTAAAAGAAGCATGTGGCTGATGTGAAATACGGTCATATTAGGCAAGATGTCAGGCCTACGAGATTAATATTGAGAAAAGGAGAAAGAAGAGACTAGCAGATAGATGAGCAACATATGAAAAAGGCTATCATTCAAGAAAAATACGGAAAAATCATTTGAATTATTATCATAAGGTATGCGTCAGCTGTATTTTTGTAAAATGCTGTATCATGTTTATTGTTTCCTAATTCAACACTGGTTTGGAAAAAAAAAATTTTTAATGAGCAAAAAAAGGACTTCTTCAAGCATCCAGAGTACATACTTGGACTTTTATGGATAAAATTAATGTAAATTGGATGAATTAATGTAAATCAGAAAAAAAAACGACATAAAATGGGCCATCAAAAAGTACATGGATATAACAGAGCTTTAGGAAAACACTGGTAATCTGCAGCTATACTTTACAATAAACATGGTTTAATGCATTGCATTTATAGTATATAACTATTGTATACATTGAAAAAAACTTTAATAGTGTTTGGTTGTTTTGCTCAAGAGGAAATATAGAAAAGCAGACAACTGACAGGAGATTGTCTAATGTTATATGTTTAGAGGCTGTAGACTGTGGCAATGAATTGGTTGTAAATATACCTTTCTAGCAGTATAGATATATATAGTGTAGACTGAATTATTGTCACATGGAGGAAAAATTATAGGTGTAAATATTTGCAGTGTGGAAATGATTAAGATATTCTGCTGTGAAATACATAATCCTGTTTTTGTTTTATTGATTTTATTTTATTGTTTATTTTGTCCAACACTGAAGTAGTAGTTTCACTGATTTCCTGCAGCATACAGTTAAAAATTCTTTTTGGTGGATGTAGTCTTAATGTTTTGAAAGTGGCCAAAGTCCTTGAATTAATAACCTTATTTCTAAGAGGCATTTGTATCACAACCTGGACCTCATAAGGAAAAGAAAATCTTCCAAATATAGGTGGAAACATGTTAAAGCTGGTCCGCAATTATATGCAGTGCCGATACAGAGAATTGATTTTTTAGGGATATGAACAATTTTGACAAGCCATTTTATTCAAATTTTGACAAAAACAGCAATCTTACTTTTTAATTACTAACAAATACCATTTTCATCCATTACAGATAAAACGTCTTGTTTAACTAAAATTGTTTGACATCTACATCTGCTAGGGTTACGAAAACAATTGGACCCAATTGTAATTGCAGTTTAACAGTATTTTTCATCATGTTACTTATGTAAGGATTCTCTGCACTGGTTACATCGCCCTGTACCACTGTGATTTAGGGCGGCTTCTACATTACGTTACACCAACCTTAAATAACTAAAGAAAAATAAGAAAACTTATAAATGATTTGCTAAACTTGCATATAACTTTTTGAGCACTGTGACTTTTTCCATTGTAATAAACAGATATGTGAAATATTAAACCATAAATGTTGGAAATGGCTACAAGGAATTGACAACTGCTCTATATCAAAATGTATATAATTAAAAATTCTGCATCACACATGGTGCACCTTAAAGAAAAAAAAACTAAAAAGCTATTTGTTTTGTTTGTTTTTACAAACATACTTGAGAACTGCTCTTTTTATTTATTGACATCACCTACAATTTTCCATCTGCTGCGTGTTATATGAGCAAAGGCTGCTTTATTTAAGGTTATACATTTCATCTGCTGTACAGCTGTTTTTAAATGAAGAAAAAATTTTGTCAAGCTGTTCAGACATGATGTTCTATATAGATGTTTTGGCTATTCTACTCTGTAAGGGCCTACAGAAACCTCACACGCTGGTGGTAAGTTTGACACAGAAACTTCTACATTATGAAGCAATAACTTAACTCACTTAGCATTGGCCGCTACTGGATGACTGAAGAAGTAGAATGTTTAAATCATTTGCATGATTCGTATGAGAACAGAAATATTTTTTTAGCAATTTTCTTTCTTTTTCATTTAGCTGAAATTATAAATATAAATACATGGCTTTAAGTAACCTTGCTCTACTTTCTATGTCTGCTGTGTCTGTGGTGAAGCATCTGCATCTTAATAGTGATAGTAGTTTTATATTCAAATCAAGATGGTTATATGAGTTTGGGCACAGTCTTTCCTTTAAACGAGCACCAAAGGTTGTTAAGTATTTATATACAGAACATTTTACAACATTTTAGTTTTAATGCATTTATTAATTTTTATTTGAGAGATTTCCCAAAGTGTGTTTTTCATTTTGTGTAAACATTTTTCCAAAAATATATTCATTGTTCACTACAGTCTGCATTCATATAAAGGGATAGCCTAGATTATTACCACCGGCTTGTGTAAATTGCGCAGCTCTATAAAATGTTTCTTTGGCAGGACTGAGGGCAAAAACGGGCTGACTTATCAGGTTGCTGATGACTGCTCTAAAGAAGCTAAATAGAACAGCTGCCGTGACTTTAAAAAGAGATTTTACTACAAGTGCTAAGTCTAAGCATTAAAGCAGAAACCAATTGAAAATGCTGGGAACATGTGGAATATCTTTCATGCCAAGTTCTGACAGAATTAAAGACATGAAGATCAAAGTTCTCTTAAAGCATTAATGACACTAAAGATAATAGATGTGCTAAAGTATGAATTCTGGACTAGATCTGCAAAGAAATGTCTTTATCAAGGTCTGAATTCTTTCTGTATTTGCCTACTTTAAAAAATGCTACCTGGTCAGGTTTTTTTGTTGCACTTGAGACCATTTAAAAAACAAATATCTGATCTATGACGCTTATGTCTCCTCTTTGCATTTATGCAGCAACATTGAGAAGGTCATTTTGCGCCAGAATATAGGAATCAACAAAGTGCATGAACATAACGCCACAGGCCAAATGAAGCTAGGTCACCGGTTCAGGGCTTTTACAGACCAAAAATGTGTCTGATGAATTCAGCTTTTTTTCTATAATTAATCAACTCTTTTTTAAAGCACACGGCCAAATATTTCATACGGTGCTGGATCTAGAGCCAAGGGTTTTTGTTTTTTTTTAGAAATGATATTGGCTCCATCACAAAACTGAATTAACATATTCTCTAAGACATAGTTGCCAATCATTTCCAAAGCTCAAAATTATTTTTCCATGGCTCTTTGGCTTTTGGGAGTTACGGTTGGGGTGGGTTTCTATTTTGAAATAAAACTCCTGTCTAAACAAAAACCTCCCACCCTTGACATTTCATGATGGCAGGTATGATAAGAGGCAAGATTACATCAGAGAAGAAAAATTAAACCTTTACCAGTATATTATACTGGGTATATCTCAAGTTTATATTGAGCTCCATAGCTCACCAAACACATGAATTTTATTTGACAATCTAAGCTTTACAAAACCCCTCCAATACATAGTTCCTAGCATGCCACCATGCATTGTCTTGAATTTCTAATGCCTCCAAATAAATAGTTTCCTGCTCAAATATTACTGAATCACATTAAAAGGTATGCAGCCCACCCAAAATCAGGGCTCCCACAGTTTCTACAGCAGTCAGACTCTGTTAAGTGTTACAAGTGAAGATGTCAATGCACTGTTTACAACCCTCTGCTACAGAACCCCCACCATCCCCACATTCCTCCTTTAGAAAATTCATTTGTCATTCTAAAAGCTGATGGTTTACACGTCTTAAGCGTTCTGTGAGAGCCCAAGCCTGACCCACAGAGTCCGAAAAATGCTGCCACATGAGTAGGTGTTCAAAAAACAGGGAGTTTGTGTTTTTGATCTCCTACCTGTTATTGTTATGTTGCTGTAGATGTTGGACAGCTGCTCCTTCAGTAGGACGAGCTGTGTGGTGGCTGCCTTCTCCCTCTGCAGCTCCAGCATGATGTCAGGATGGTGGGCCAGTTTGCAGCCTTTTTGTTTGTCCAGTGCAATATCACTACGCACTATATCTACCAAAAATAAAAAATAAAAATTAGAATATATATATATATATATATATATATATATATATATATATATATATATATATATACTCTATTTTTGATTAAAAATAAAATGTTGGTATTGTGGGAAAGCTTGCTGTTCACGTTTTTTTGTATATCTATTTTTCATCTGGTGATATTCAAGAGTGGGAAGACAAATAGTACAGTGGTTACCAAATAAATACTTACATTTTTACCCACAAAATAACCGACTCATAAGCTTAGATATTGGGTTGAAAATTACAAAAATTATGGATTAAGAGCATTCAATCTTGGAATTTTATCAAAGCCCCCTTAATAATTTTCAAACTTTAATAACCCATTAGGATTCAATAAGTAATATCAGCAACAACAACCAATAAAAGTGCTTTTAAATGAAATGTAAATACGAGGAAGGTATTTCTACTGTATTTTTGCGTTATCCACTGCTGCTGTAATGTTTTTAATAGTGGCGCAGCTGCATTCAATTTTAAGATCATGGAGCAGCAGATTTTCCCAACTTTAACTAAAAGGCAGGAAATTGAAATAAGTGCAAAAACAAAATTGAAACAAATAACTCTCACGCATTGTTAATTAATTGGTCAGTGTTTTGAACCACAATTAAAGCAAAGTATAATATTTGCAAAACTTATTTCAAGACGTTTTACAACACAGCTGAGATCCGACCCCGACTTTCTGAGCTTGTTTTGAAATTATTCACACAGTGGACATTATTTACTTAAATAATTAGAGAATTATGCTTGGCTTATGAAAGCTCATTAAATGAATGTTGGGCTAGCATTAATTCAAAGAAGGAGTGAACGTGAACGGGAATAAATTTATCCATCACAGTGTTATATTGTTTTGTTTTTTCTTCTCTGCAGCGTGTCTTATATTAAGCGGTATCTATTTAGATAAAAACATAGTCGCAGTGTTAATGGTAGATGCCAAGTCCCATTTAATTGGGGCAGAGTTAAGGAATAATTGTTTTGGCTCTAAACACTTTTTTCCCTACTAGAAGTGAGAGGAGGTGAAGCGTGGACACGAGAGAAAGACGCCATGTTCTAAACACAAACCTAACTAACTAATAAATGAGAGGAGGGGAGAGAAGCCATATTTAATCACCGTCCTCGTAGTTCTTCAGGTAGTAGTCTGGACCGGGGCCCCTGAACTTGGCAAGGTTCTTCTGGTTGTTGAACTGCAGGAAGTCGGTTCGTTTTCCGCCGAAGCGCAGAAACGCAGGAGACAGGCCGCGCGCCAAGGTCACGAGCCGTCTGGAGCTGCAAAGACAGGAGACAGAGGAAGAAGAAGAAAAACATTTTTAGAAAAAAACAAACAAACAAAAACTTCATAAGGAGGGAGTGCGTCACAATCTTCTGCAGAAAGCGTGTTTCATACATGTTTTAATCACAGAAAGAGATAGGAGCAGACGCGCAGTATGTGGCTCTGTTTTAGACTCGTTTAATTTAAATAATAATTTTAAAAGCAATAATTTAAAAAAAAAAAGTGAATAATATGCGTTATGTCTTTCCTGGCTATTTTATTTCACTATATTGTCTGTAACAAAGCCTTTTGACTTTCCCTCGTAAAAAGTAGGCACTGAGGATATCAGTGCCGAAAAAGTGTCGGAGGAACATTCAAGAAGAAATATATATACATATGTAGCTATATATATATATATATATATATATATATATATATATATATATATATATATATATATATATATATATATATATATATATATATATATACATATATATATGTATAGATAGATAGATAGATAGATAGATAGATAGATAGATATAAATATATGTATATATATATATATATATATATATATATATATATATATATATATATATATATATATATATATATATATATATATAATATCAACTTATCTTTAAGTGACGGAATAATTGTGTAAACAAGCGAAAAAGCTTTAGCTCCTCGTTTTAAAAGAAGGATGCATAAGTTTGAAAGATTTATACGGTACGGGTTTTTGTAAGTGATCTAATGCAAACATTTACGTCTCTCAAATTCACCAGTGAATAACACAACAAAGGTCTAACATCTTAAAACATAGACAAAAAAAAAAAAAAAAAAAAAGAACACACACACCTTTCTGGGCTCAGATCCCTGATGTTTCTCCAGGTATCAGTTGGAGCCACTTTTCCAGTAAGCAAGATAAATAAACGCACTAGAGGGACAGTTTTATGTACTTGATAATCATTTTAGTATGTGACTGCTGCACATACAGGGGATAATACAAAATAAAAATACATGTTTTGATTTTCAGTGGGCCTACAGGCTTATTGTTTCTCTATTAAAAGGATTATGAATATTCTTGGAAAAACAGGAAACGTGCCTGATCACTCCATGACAATTCATACAACGTGGCTGTGCGCGTTACTAATATAAAACAACAGAAAGAGGAAAAAAACGAAGCATTTCGGACGTGGGCTTCTACAGATTATTGTTGGACATTTCAGAGGTGGAGATTCGGGCAGATCGGTGCTTATGGTGATGGTTTTGGTACCTCAGAAAGTCCAGCCAGCCGTCTCTGATGATCGCGGGGTCCAGCTGCAACGATAAGAAGTTGTCGTTGAGGACTCTGATCGGACTGCGGGTGTTAACATCCAAAAGAACCAGCGTCCTCCTCAAGAAGCCTGGTCGCTTCCCTCCAGCTGCGGTTCTCTGGTATGTGGAGGAGGAAGAGTACGAGGAAGAGATTACCGACTGCACCACCAAAATAACAAAAGATGTCAGCCACAGGGAGGACCAGGGAGACGCACAGGGTGAACATTTGGGCATCTTTTCGGTGCCACAGAGGGGGGGATCAGAATGCGTAATTAGGGTTTAAGGCTGACTGGAAAAATAAAAGCTATGATGCCACAGAGTTTTATGGCGGTACTTTTACTTAGTTCTCATCGATATGGATCAGTCTTCCTGTCTGGTGTTCTCACCCCCTCTGCCCCCCGCCCCTCTGCGTATTTCTGGGAGCTGCCAACAAGAGCGCACGCCCCAAGCCAGCCTTCCCGGTTGAGAGAGATGGAAACTGGGAGGAGGAGAGGAAGCAGCACCGCCCCTCTAAGGTTCTCTGAGGTATAAGACTGAGAAAATAGATTAATTTTCTACCATTTACGTGGATTAGAGGGGAAGAAGAGAGACCTAATATTGTTAAAAGCGACTATATAGAGGTGCTTCGTTTAAAAAAATTAATTAATAAATAAAAAAATACACCTGGCTTTTTCGAACTACCTCATATATAAGTAAAGTGTAGTTTAAAAACTTAAATACAGCTGTGTTCAGTTGGTATAACATCTGAAGGCAATGTGTCCAAAAAGATGCGCGCATTTACGCGCGTTTTATGGATTAGGATGAGATTTGTTTGTTCATTCCAAGTACATAATTTGGGAGTTTGGTGATCTGATCACATTTTCTTAAACCTTAATAAGCCCTAATGTGATGTAGTCAAACCCGGTATACTTAAGAATTAACCCATGTATTTATAACCGATTAGATAGTATTGTATCATTCCAGTGTCGGATCAAACACATTTAGGAAGTTTATTAGTGTTACAAACGTTACATGTATGATTTAGGATATTATCAGAATGAACCAGAGAGGTTTCTGTCTAATTAACTGTTGTGCAAACTCACACAAACCTTAATAATTACTCGCGTTAGAATTAGCTAATATCACACCTTCCAAAAAGTATCTAATAGAGGCGCCAAGGTTGCTGGCATTAAGATAAGATGGTAAATTGCATTTAAATTCAAGCAGAATCTAATTTTCCTGACAGAAATCAATCAGAAACTATTAAAAATGAGAAATTCCGATCAGAACAATCTTCTCATCTACATATTTTATCTTGACTAAAGGGTTCAAATTAGTTAGAAAACAGAACACATGTTTTGGATTCTATGGAGACGGAAACACGAGCAGCTGCCCTCTCTACAGACACACGCAAAAAAAGAAATAAATAGAAAAAATACTGTATAGATGACTTCTCTAAGGCGCACCGAACCACGCTCTAATAAGGAAAGACATCACAAGGAGATGTGCTGGTTTGGGGTCATGGCTGTAAAAAATAAGGTTAGGCAGAACTTTACCAAACCAGTTTTTCAAACAACTTTACATGTGTGCTCATTTATATTTCACTTCTTTCATAACAGAGTCCTGAAGATAATATTGAAAATAAAGTTTTAGTCATAAAATTGTCTTATATTGCATGCATTTATAGATCTATTCCAGTCTTTTGATAGAACAATAACATAACTGCGGCGCAGGAGAGCAGGAGATATTTCAGAGGCCTTGCGAAGGATGAGGTTAACAGATCAAACCAAATGTAATAAACTTAATTGTAAAGTCAGAAACAGGAGCTGAAGTTTGTGCGCTTCATTCAGACTGTCTGCTTTTATTTTCAAAACAGATTAAAATAGTTTAACTGTTTCCAAATGACAATATTTTGGATCTGATATGCCTTCTACTCATGCGTCGCGCTGTGCTGGGGCAGTTCGATTCTAAGCCTCCTTTCTTTATCAGATTAAAATGTTATTCTCTCCCTGAAAGTTTCCTTTCGCACTTAAAATCTTGCAAGATTCGAATCTGCTTTAAGAAATTTAGAGAATGTCGGTTTTTACAAATAAACAATATTTTATATTTATACACTTTTAATGGAAATGTCTGCAGCTTTTCTTATTCTCATGCATACCTATATATCAAGTCCAATATTATTATTTTTTCTTTCTTTCTTTTTCTTTTTGTTCGCATAGTAGCTACTCCACCGCCAACTGAAATGTCTCCGATGGACAAATATTTTTGTATTGGCACCATACACGCTATGTTTCCTCTCCTCGTAAACTGGATGTTTTCATGGCGAAAAACTAAATCTCTCCAAAAACTGGCTCCGAATCAACTTTCTTTTTTCTTTTTTAAGAAACTTTAAAAACTGCTTCCCCGAGCTGACAAATCTTAAAACTTAACTATCGTTTCTTCTTAAAGCTGGTATTTGAACATAAAAAAAATTCTTTAATGACGACCGTTATAAAAATGGAAAAAAATATAATATTTCTACTTTTAAAAGACTTAAACTGACATAGATTTTAACCAACAAAAAATATTCTTCCCCAATATAAAGCGGCCTTGGTTTCAAACAAACATAAGGTTTTTGTTTCTCTGTATTTTCACAACTTAAAGCCACACCCGAAGAGCATTTGTTTAAGGAATACGAATCCTATTTTCACCTGGTTGATACAGGCTGCAGGGGAACATTGGATTACCTCACACTTTTTTAAAAATATATTTATATATAATTTGAGCATAAATGTCGGTGTTAATTGGTATGTAATTACTAGATGCGCATTTGTTGCATATTTTTATGAATGTATGAAAGTCTGTTTTCATGGAGTCTTCTTGTCATATTTGCTACTGATCTGTTTTTATAAAAAGAACATAAAGAAAGAAAAACCTAAACTCAAACTTTTTTTCCGGGATAAGCTAGAGATATATATGTAAAACGTGCACATGAACATATAACTCAGTATTTTCGAAATAAATAATTCCAAAAACATATGAAAGAATACAAATAATAATCATAGCCCTTATGTTTCTTACAGGTTATCTGGTATGTTGTTATTCTTGTTGAAGTCAAATATTAATGACCATGATCCTGGCTTCACTCATAATATTAGTAACAAGATACATTTGCAGGGTGCAAATGCATATTTCTTTATTTTGAAGTTATTCGAAGCAATGCTTTATGTCAAACACAGCAGGTTGCAATTCAATAGTGTCTTCAGTTTACACTTGAACTGAATTCTGATTTTTTTTTTATTTATTTATTTATTGCAGCGTTATTTTCCAGTTAAATTTAAAAAAGGGAAATACTGCCATCTAGTGACCGCAGAACAGATACATAAGTTCCGACTGTCTAAAGCCTTTTTTAAATACTCAGGGCTGCTGGAGCTTTTTTGTGGTTCTGCAGTTTTTATCTTTGCCCATAAAATCCTGCACCAAATGAACTTTCTGCAGCCCAGCTTCAGGCTTCATTCATTATGTATGTCAGGGCTTTTACTCTAATCTATTTTTAGAAATCGAGCATACGTCAGAATTGGTCATTTATATTTGTTTTTCCCTACTCCCCCCCCCCCCCACCCCCCCACCCCAAACACACACACACACACACACACACAACCTACCAGCTGCTCCATCCGTCCCACCACGTGACCTAATTCTCCCTCGTCCTTCAGCTCATTCAGCACCATGGCTGTGGATGCTGCGGATGCTCATTGCTGCATCCTGCATCCGCGCCGGCTCTCCCTCCTCTTCCTCACCATCTCTCTCTCATCCCTGCCCGCTCCAGTTGCTGCGCTGCTCGGCGTTCGGCCCGAAGACACTCAGAGCGGGGATCTGTCCGTGCAGGACGGGATTTTGAGAGCAAAAGAGGGGACGCGCTTCATGCTGAGGGTTTACTTCTCCGAGCATCCCAACAGCGGGAATATCAGCGGGAAACCTGCCGCTCCGTGGATCGCCTTCATAGAAGAACCGAGCGGCATCGCTGCGGATGCGGGGAAGGGGCTCCGGTCCGATGAGAAACTGTGTGAGGATGAAAGCTCCCGGAGCTCCGACATAGAACTCATGGGCTCCTTTAGATCCGCTTCAAGTCACAACTCTGTTCTGGTTGAACTGCTGGTAAAAGACTTGCGCAGAGATGAGGTGATCAAATATTACTCCATGTGCGCCTTTGATGGAGTGAAATGGGAGCACTTCAGGACCAAAGACTTCTGGTTGGCTGTGGTGGAGAAACCTCCGGAGCCAGATGTTTGGCTCCAGACCGGGGTCTCTGTGCTTTTGTTAGCGCTGTCAGCCCTGTGCAGTGGGCTGAACATCAGCATGCTGGCTCTTGACCCAGTGGAGCTCCGGGTCTTGCAGAACAGTGGCACGGAGAAAGAGCAGAAATACGCAGGGAAAATAGAATCCGTGCGTAAACATGGGAACTACATCCTTTGCACAGTGGTGTTGGGTAACGTCCTCACAAATACCTGTTTTGTGGTGTGGATGTGTCAGATTTTAGGAATGACTGCCTTGTCAACGGCCTCATGCACTTTGGGGATCTTCTTTATCGGGGAAATATTACCTCACTCCGTTGCGTCCAGGCATAGCCTCGCCATCGCCTCCAAAACTCTGTGCGCCACCCGCTTTCTGATGCTCGTGTTCTTTCCCATCGCCTACCCGGTCTCCAAGATTCTGGACATCATGCTGCACCAAGAGATCAGCAGCTTTTACACCAGGGAGAAGTTGGTGGCTATGTTGCGCGTCACCGACCCTTATCATGACCTGGTCAAGGAGGAGCTAAACATCATCCAGGGAGCCCTGGAGCTGAGGACAAAAACCGTGGAGGATGTGCTTACCCCGCTGTCAGATTGCTACATGCTTTCATCAGACGCAGTGCTGGACTTCTGCACCATGTCCGATGTGATGCAAAGCGGATTTACCCGAATTCCGGTCTACGAGAACGACAGGTCCAACATCGTGGACATTCTGTTCGTTAAAGACTTGGCGTTCGTTGATCCGGATGACTGTACTCCCCTTAAAACAATCACGCAGTTCTACAAGCATCCCATGCACTGCGTCTTCAATGACACCAAACTGGATGTGATGCTGGAAGAATTCAAGAGAGGTAAACCAAAAAAAAAAAAAAAAACTCAAGAGGTCTTTTTGTGGAAATTCCTCTGTGTTTCACATGAGTGAGAAATCAGTTTAAAATGGGTGAGGCGCCACATGGTTTGAAGCAAACCACTGGAGACATCCTTCCACCTAGGAGTTCAATGTCCTTTGAAGTGCTCTAAAAACTAAATTTTCCCCACAGAAGTCATTGTATACATCAGTTCATTGGCTTAAAGTTCATCTACCAGTAAAGCACTTTGATCCCCAGAACACTGAAAGCCATATGTGAAATGTGAGACAGTGTCACACAGTGCATATGGTTCAGCCAGGGGTTAGAAAATACCAAGAACCATAGTGGAGACATCTTAAGAATTTGTTATGAGTGAACAGCCCCCTGAACTTCATTTTAAACCATTTCTCATTTTTATTGTCCCTTTTTTTATCACACACACACACACTCAAATGTTCCTGATCATCAAATAAATAGATCATCAGACTAATCCTGTTACCTTAAATCAGATTGAACTGTACCTAACCACATCTTTTGCTTCACTGGACAAAAAAACTTTCCTTAACTGAGATACTAAATCTGTTTAACTGCATAAAGTGCATTAAAATATATGCTATTAATGTTAAGAAATCAGTCAGTCAGGAAACAGGTCAAAGAGCACTTCCATACAAGCCGTCCTATACTCTGCTGTATATTAAAAGCAACACAAAAGCCATATTGGCCAAAATCATCTTGACAATTTCCATGACTGTAAAATATTTGGTGAAAAAATAAGAAATAAAGGGACCGTAGAAGTGAGTGCCGTACCATAAACACATCTGAGATATAGCAAAAAGGAAGCATTATTTGTACAGATAACTATAGAGTTGTTAGTGGGATGAACTGGGTTGCTTGTACACCTCAGAACCCCATACTTTTGAACACCCAGAAGCAGCTCCTCCAGCTATTGTTTTTTTATATGCTGCCTTAAAGCTCTTGAGTCAGTCTCTTAAAGTAGCCCAATCAAGTCAGAATCTACATCGGATGGAAATGTTGTCCCATAACAATTAACAGACTATTCATGTTTAAAAAAACCCCAAAAACATCCAGTGCAACAAAATTAAGATAATTCTACAAAGATGAGTGGAACAAAAGTGCCATAAAAGGACAGTTATAAATGCTATGTCAGCGTTTGCCTTTAAGGGTAGCACAACCAATTACTGTTTCAAAGATCTGTTTTTGGTTTTAGCTCTTTTCTTTTTACTTTCTTTTTAAATGCAACTTTTACAAACTTATATTTTTCACTTCTTCCTCTTACTCACACATGCATTGCCCATTAATAATTTATGCTGACTGATTGTGGGACTCTGACTCTTATAAAGATGACATTTGTTCAGTTTGGGGAGAACATGTCTCAGGGCTTGAAGATATCGTTATGTATAGATATGTATAGTAGATGTTGAGTTAAACAGTTTATGCTGCTACACTTTCAGCATAAAATCAACTTAAATCATGAGGCATAACTGTTATTTAAGGGTTGAAATTCAATGTACCTTGCAAAATTATTGATACCCATTAAACTTTATAAATATTGGCTTCAGTGTGTTACTGTATATAGTACTGAAATTTCTATAAAAGCCCAATACCAAGTACAGTCTTTTACTAAGATAGATAAAAAAAAAAAAGACTGCATGGTTCTATAAGGTGGTTTTCAAATAAAAATGTGGAGAATCGCAGCATGCCATGATATACAGCCCTTCATACGCTGATACAGACATTCTGGAAACTGTCTGAGAACTCAAACCAATATAGACTTAGAGGCAGTTACAGACAAAGTTAGAGAAGCATTCATTTGGAGGAGGCCAAGCGGTCGGATGTGTTCAAAATTAAATATTTTAGCCTGTGTCATGCTGTGGGATTGTTTTCTTTAGCAGGGAGAGGGGAACTGGTAATAGTTGATGGGAAAATAGAGGAGGTTAAATGTAGAGCAACACTAGAAAGCCTTTTAAAGGCTTCCAAAGGATTGAGAGTGAGCTGGAGGTTCATCTTCCAGGGGGAAAAAAACCCTCAGCATACAACCAGTATATGGAATAATTCAAGCAATCTTTGGAAAAATTTAAAAATTGATGTTGTTACATAGTCTCCAGTTTGTTCGCTCCAGAGTGAATCTACATTTTGTTGATTAATTGAAGGCGGAACAATTACAGTATACATGCTATACCTCCGTTTTTTATTTATGGAAATGGGAAAAAATACTTTTTCTTCCATAATCATGTCACTTTGTCACACAAAAACCCAACAAAATACATTAAAATTCATTGCAGCAATTAAAACGTTCAACAGAAATTAATTCTTTTGCTTTTACTTTAATTTTTTTTCTGTTGAGAATGATAACGGCAGCATTAAGCTTTGGCAAGTGGGCATTTAGGGGAAAGAGATCAGCTCAACTTTTGGAAAAACATTTTTTTTTCCTTTATCCATCTATATATATATATCTATACATCTATCTCTCTCTCTATTTGTTGATTCCTGTTGTTTGAATGTCAGAGTTATAAACGGTAAAGTCAAGATTCACCTTTAAATTTCCAATATATCTGAACCCACTTAGGCTTTAAGGGTCTTTCATTTTCGCTTTTCATTGCTAAGCCTGCAGAGTAAATCATGAAAAATTCAACTCCAACCTTTTGCTTTCCCTCTTTCCCGCTTCCCTCTGTTCTCTCAAGGATTAACAGTCCTGCTGTTCAGGAAGCTCAGCTGGAAGCTTGACCTGATGTCTCACTGAGAGGGGTGATGAGCAGGGGTTCGGTCAGGCTGGAGCTTCAGCGGGGAATGAAAATGTCATCAGTAATTTAAAAAAGAATAAGCGAGGACAGAATGAAGAGACATACGGAGGAACTTTTATTAACTTATTTAGTTTTCTCTCAAATGCAGTACTAATTGAGTTTGATCTGCAGAAAATGTCTGCAGTCTCAGTCTAATCATGTCTTCTTATCAAATTTAAATCTTTGGTGCATTCAGTTGCTAGAAAAACACAAATTAGACATTTTTTTAACCAAGGGGGGAATCTAAAGAAACTTTGATAGCAAGATAGCTGTTTTGTTAATGATAGAGTTTCTAATTCATTCAGAAAAAAACAGTCAAAAACGATTTTCACAAATCTCTTTGTTAGAGGACCTTGGGTGACTAATGAAATGATGCAAAATCCTGTTAAACCAGAACCACAGAAGTCAGGTAATATTGGATTTTATCCATTGTATTAAAAAAGAGCTATCCCCCCAAATTCAAAATCAAATAAACAATAAACTATTTCATTAAAAAAGTGGAAAAATACCTTAGAAGGGTATTATTCATTCTCTAGGATTGTTATTAAACACACAGGCTTCTACGTGTTACCTAAAGAATTAAAGAATTTTGCAGTTTTGCAGCATATGTTACTGGCTTGAAATTACTAATTCTTCAGTGTGTAAAAAATCACTTAGATTCTGTTATTTTAGTTTGGTGAAACTATTATCTGTGTATAAATAGTTTGACCATGTCTAGTTATTCATACAAATATGAATAACTAGACAACACTCAGTTCCAACTGAATGTTTGCCGTAAGCTGTTCTATTCCTGCATATTTAAACAAACATTTTTTTTATGGATATTCTTATGCAGAAAATGTAACCAAAAATAAGTGCACAGCCTACAAGAACAGATGATTTTCAAAAATAGAACACAGGAGTCTGGGAAACTGCTGGAGCAGAAGTATTTGTGAAAAGAACATCCACAGAGGACCCAGTTTCACCCCAGGCAAGAGTGTCTTCACTTGTGAGCGTGCTGGGTGTGTGTCACTATGCATGAGCATTATGTAACACGTGAATGATGTAATGCAGTTCATGGGAGCATCAGCAGCTGATGGCAAACCCTCCTGTGCATCACCTGTGCTATTCAGACATGCTGACCTGAGCTCTGGGCACAGCCTTGCTGTCTCAGCTAAACTCACTCTGCTACAGACTAATATGTGAAGATGGCTGCATGTCAGTCAGTCAATCAGATTTTTGTCCTTCCTCGTCGGACTGGATTAAAGCATTCTTTTTATCCTCTGGCAGAGATCCCCTAAATCAGCCCCTCTCCTGCAGTTTTAGCCTCTATGCAAGACTGGAGACTATTTCCATGAAATGTGTGTCCAAATGACGTAAATCTGGTTGGGTAACGTTACTAGTCACCAAGCTGACGTGTTTCTTGAGAAAAAAAAAGGTATGTGTTAAACTGTATTATTGCAGCTGCATGTTTAAAATATTTTTCCTTGAAATGAAATGAAAAAAAGCTGTGTGTCGTTTCTCCTGTTTCCCTTTGTGATATTCAAGGTTGTGGCAACATTGACTTCTTGTCACATTTAGTTTGCAGACTACATGCAGGGATGCTGTGGGCTAGTTGTGTGACTGGGTCTGGAAGACATGTTGTGAGTGGGCATTCTGAGTGGAAGGTTTGCTCATGAGTGCACAAAGTGGCCATGTTTTGTTTTTACGGAGGTGACAGCAGCATTGCTAAGTTAATTTGACACATGCAGGCATCATAAATCTTTGCAATCTCAGTGTTTTATGTAATGGGTCAGGTTTTCCCAGTTGCCAAAAATTGCTCAAGACTGATTGTTTGTCCTAAGAACACACATGAGCACAATCCTGATACGGCTTTTATTCAAAGCTCAACATCTGAGCTAGATTTACCCTTGAATGTTCATGGTGTCTCAACAGTCTGTGTTGATTTTCATCTTGACCAGTTGGAGGCTGTTTGCTCAGAGCTATTTTTAATCCAGTGATGTCCCGCTCCAACACATTGCACAAGCAGATTTTAGCTCAGCTTTACTTTCCCTCTGTCTGTTCTCATGAATGCAGGGAAGTCTCACCTGGCTGTTGTGCAGAGGGTGAACAGTGAAGGCGAGGGGGACCCTTTCTATGAAGTGATGGGCATTGTGACACTG